AAATAATTGCTTACATGTTAGAAAAGATCTTAACTTGGCAGAAGGATGCTGTAAGATGCTTGGGGTAGCCTTAAGCACATGCCTTCCAGACAGGATCAGTTGAACGAGAATCCCACACAACTGCCTGGCCCCGTCACACACTAGGTGTTTGAGCTTGTCCTGGGAACCTCTGGGCCTGTACTTCTATCCAGTGGGACTCCTGATCCAGAGTGCTGCTATTGGCTAGTTGAGAGGCCTTGGCAAATCAATATCCCAGTCATCTCTGCCGCCAGCATGCCCCCATGAGTGAAGCTGCTGGTTATCGCTGTCCAGCGGAAACCCTCATGCCCTGCTGCACTTTTGCTTGGAGTTTCGGTCATATTCATTCCTTCCTTTGACCATGGACACCCTGCCTCTTCTTCAGAGTCCTCTCCCGTGCTACCTCCTTGCTTCTCGTACCCATCCATAATCAGGATGAGTGGACCTGGCCTTCCTGTCTCCTTGTCCCTAAAGGAATTATTCAAATGCTGCTTCATCCTGTCCCTTTCTCTGCGCTGTTTGATGTCCCTGGAAAATTAAAAACCTTTCAGGGCAGGAGTGTGTTAAACCCTTTGCAAAACCCCGTAGCTGTAACAGAAGAGCATTGTAAAGAATTTGACATGGGGGCTGGGGAAGTGGCTCAGTTGGTAAAATGTTTGCTGTGCACGGATTTTAGTGAGACTCCTAGAATCCACATGAAAAGCTGGACATCATGGGGCTAGAAAGATGACTGGGGTTATGAGCACCTGGTACTCTTTCTGAGGACCCAGCACCCACACCAGGAAGCTCCAAACTGCCTGTAACTACAGTTCCAGTGAATCTAACACCCTCTATTGACCTCAACAGGTATGCACACATAAACACATAAGAATTTAAAATTAAATCTTAAAAAAGAAAGAAAAAAGAGCCTGTGCTGGTATTTCCAGTAATGAGAAGGTGGAGACAGGTGGGCCCCAGGGGATTGCTGGCTCACCAGTCTAGCTGGATTGGTGAACTCCAAGTTCAGTGAAAGACTCTCATCTCAAAAGATATGGTAAAGAACCAGGCATCATGGTGCACTCATTTAATCCCAGAATTTAAGAAGCAGAGGCAGGCAGATCATTGTGAGTTCAAGCCCAGCCTGCTCTATATAGAAGTCTCAAGCCAGTCAGAGCTACATAGAGACACCCTGTCTCAAACAAAACAGTACCAACCAATCAGTCAGTCAAAGAAAAACCAAATCAGTCAAAAAGATAAGGCAGGGAGTGGTTGACAGGGAAGACACAATCTAGCTTCTGTGTATGTACACACATTTGCAAATAAGAACACTATACATATACACACCAGCATATGAAATCACATTGAGGCTTTGGCACAGCACCTACTGTGTGCCAAGTAGTGCAGCTGTGAGCCAAACAAAGCAACAATTAGGCTGGGTGGTGGTGGTGGTGCACATTTTAATCCCAGCACTCTGGAGGCAGAGGCAGGAGAGTCTCCAAGTTCAAGGACAGCTTAGGCTACAGAGTGAGTTCCAGGATGGCCAGGGCTACACACAGAGAAACCCTATCTGGAAAAACCAACCCTACCCTCAAAACAACAACAAAAACCCCAACAATTACACAAAGACTCCAGACATGATCCTGGTCTTCAGAGAGCCAGTTCCGAGCCAGTTCCCTTCTCGCCGTGCTGGTACAGAATAGTACTGGCCAAGCCACCCAAGGTGAGTTTGGTCTATGTGACCATGCTCATCAGATAGCATGGGACCATGCCCCCCTGTGAGGGGTGGGGAAAGCAGTCTGGTCCTAGTGTGTTAACCTTGACAGGGCAGCTGGATGACTTGGGAGGGACAGGGTGGCTGGAGGAAGGACCAGGAAGATTGCGTGGGAAGAGCATTGATTCCCATTTGATGGAGAAGCTCACCATGGGGTCCTGGCCCACAATCCACGCAATGGGCCTGACCTGGCAGGTGCTAGCTCTTGGTACAGACTTGGAAACAATTCCCTATCTGGCAGGAGTTGCCTCTGCTTGGCCTGAGTAGAGGTCATCCGGCAGAGCCTGGGGCCAATGCTAATTGCCCCCCTGGGCTCCTGTAAACTCCTGTAATGACCACGTGGGCCTCTGCCAACACCATCTACATTCTTCAGCAAAGGCAAGGACCCTGGAAAAACCAGTTAGGGTGTGGAAGACCCTTAGTATGTCCAGGCCTAGGGAGTGCTGGACTCTTGGTTCAGGGGCCTAGAAGCAGAGCTTAAAAGCCTTAGTTGCTAAGAACATACTTGAGCTGATAAAAATGCTTGGTGCTAAGTTTGATTCCCAGCACTCACATAAAAACGTTGGGCATGGTGGCACTCTCTTGTACGCCAAGCTCTAGGGAGACAAAGACAGGTGGATCCCTGGGGCTTTCTGGCCAGCAAATCTAGTCAATTTGGCAAGCCACAGGCCAGTGAGAGACTCTCAAAACACAAGTTGGCTGATGCCTGAAGAAGGACAGCTGTTGTCCTCTGGCCTCCACACTTAGGTGCTTACATTGCACTTCTGTATACACCCATACTGAAGAGCATCCCCACGCACAGACACACAGTGGTGACTAGAGAAGGGTGCATTACTGTGCATGGCCGGCATCGGGTCCAGGCCCAGAGGCTGTGGTCAGGAATCTCTGCGGGCCACATGTGGCTGGGGCCCTTCTACTTACTCCCAAGGCCCCAGGGTTTGCAGAGTGTTCCCTGTATAATTGTTACTCAGCAAATATTTGCACCAAATCGTTTGATTTCCGGTTCTATGCCCATTCTGGAATCCTTGCTCTGGCTTGTTTCTTTGGCAGCTGGTTCTTGCAGCTCAGAAGGCTGGAGGAGGAGAATCACAGGGCCGGGCTGTTTCTCGGGCACCTATGGGAGGTGCCACTGTTGGCCATTAACCTTCTGGTGTCTCCAGGCAGTTCTTGGCTTGTGGCCACATCACTTTTCTCCACCTCTGACATTGTCCTTTCCCTCTCTGCCACTTCTGTGTGTCTCACTGTGCATGCCATTGGATTTGGGGCCCAGGGCTTTTCTCCAATTGTCCCCTTACCTTAGACTCCTTAAGTTTAATTGTCTGCTGAGACGGTCTGTCCTGATTTAAGGACACATTCCCAGTTTCTATGACCGGATGAAGGAGGGTGTGGGTACTTCCCTAGCTAGTTGCCTTTTTTGTTTAAAAATGGTGTGTGTGTGTGTGTGTGTGTGTGTGTGTGTGTGTGTGTGTGTGTGTGTGAAGGCTTTCCTACTGTCTCACCAGCTGTGTGTGTGTGTGTGTGTGTGTGTGTGTGTGTGAAGGCTTTCCTACTGTCTCACCAGCTCTGTGTGTGTGTGTGTGTGTGTGTGTGTGTGTGTGTGAAGGCTTTCCTACTGTCTCACCAGCTCTGTGTGTGTGTGTGTGTGTGTGTGTGTGTGTGTGTGTGTGTGTGTGTGTGTGAAGGCTTTCCTACTGTCTCACCAGCTGTATGTGTGTGTGTGTGTGTGTGTGTGTGTGTGTGTGTGTGAAGGCTTTCCTACTGTCTCACCAGCTCTGTGTGTGTGTGTGTGTGTGTGTGTGTGTGTGTATGTGTGTGTGTGTGTGAAGGCTTTCCTACTGTCTCACCAGCTCTGTGTGTGTGTGTGTGTGTGTGTGTGTGTGTGTATGTGTGTGTGTGTGTGTGTGAAGGCTTTCCTACTGTCTCACCAGCTCTGTGTGTGTGTGTGTGTGTGTGTGTGTGTGTGTGTGTGAAGGCTTTCCTACTGTCTCACCAGCTGTATGTGTGTGTGTGTGTGTGTGTGTGTGTGTGTGTGTGTGTGTGTGTGTGAAGGCTTTCCTACTGTCTCACCAGCTCTGTGTGTGTGTGTGTGTGTGTGTGTGTGTGTGTGTGTAGGCTTTCCTTCTACTGTCTCACTAGCTGTGTGTATGTGTGTGTGTGTGTGTGTGTGTGAGTGTGAGTGTGAAGACTTTCCTTCTACCATGTCACCAGCTCCTTGTTTTGTTTTTTGACAAAGAATCTCACCACATGGCCTATGCTGGCCTTGAACTGTCAATCCTCCTGCCTCAGCTTCCCCTGCACAGGGATTCTAGGCTGCATCACCTGCTTGTAAAGCCGCCCAGGAGTCGCTGGGCTTGCTGCTCCGGCTTCGTTGGGATTCGGTTCACAGTTATGTGCATGTAGCTTTAGAGCCGTGCTTCCTCTTGGTCTCTGACTTCAGGCTGGGAAGGGCTTTCCCTAGTAAGCAGCTCCTAGCAGCTGTCCATTAAAATAAAGCCTTGAGAAATGGATTGCTTATTTATTCTGAGTCAGGGTCTCACTGTGTAGCCCTGGCTGGCCTATCACTCATAGTGATCTACCTGCCTTTGCCGCCCAAGTGTCAGCATGCCTATCTGAGAATTTGATTTTTAAGTTTTTAAAATTATTTTATGTGTATGGGTGTTCTGGCTACATGTATGTCTGTACACCGCATGTGTGCCTGGTGCCCTCAGAGGCCAGTTCCCCATAGATGGTTATGAGCCACCATGTAAGAGCTGAGAATTGAAAGGCGGTCCTTTGGAGGAGCAGCCAGTGCTCTGAGCCATCTCTCTGGCTCTGATAAATTTTTTTTTAAATCAATTAATTTTTTTTTTTTTTCCGAGACAGGGTTTCTCTGTGTAGCTTTGCGCATTTCCTGGAACTCACTTTGGAGACCAGGCTGGCCTCGAACTCACAGAGATCCGCCTGGCTCTGCCTCCCGAGTGCTGGGATTAAAGGCGTGCGCCACCACCACCCGGCTAAAATTTTTTTAACTGAATGTGTAAAGTGCTTGTTGTATAAGCATATAGACCTAAGTTCCGAGCCCTGGAACCTGTGACTAAACTAGACGTGGCTAGGAGGCAGAAACAGGAGGATCAGGAGTTCACGGTCCTCCTTAGCCTCACAGCAAGTCTGAGGCCAGCTCAGGTGACATGAGATCCTGTCTCAAAATAAAATTACAGAAGGAAATGGAAAACTGTGCTGCCCCCTCCCTCAGGTCAGTCATATGAAATCCGGCTACTGGAGAACCGGAAGCTAGGGGACTTCCAAGATCTGAACACGAAGTATGTGAAGGTGAGTGAGCCTAAACATGCCAGAGGATGAGCACTGTGGGGTGTGAGTACCTGGGGCTGGGGATGGTAGGAAGGCAGCAGAGGGAGGGGCAGCCTCCTTCTCATCCCTGAGCTACAGTACTGCCCCTGTTTATGGAGGGCACTGTCCCCATGAAATGGGGAGGCAGTGGACCAGTGGCTCACGTTGGTGGAGTGTGCTCTGGGTTACCTACTTTTGACCTCAGTTGAACCTTGCTTACCTACATAGAACAGCACATATGAGGCTGTTAAGAATGCTGGAAGCCCTGGAAGGCGGCATCCTTCTCACCATTGTCCATGTTCTTGGGGTTCTGAGGAAAGGAAGCCCTAAGAAAAGGGGCTGGTGAGGGGCGGAGGGCTTTCCCTGATCAGGGGCAGGGATGCACACTCTTTGGGGTCCCCCAGTCCCCACACACAGCCGTCTTCGACATCTGCCCTTCACAGAGTATCATCCGTGTAGTTTTCCATGACCGTAGACTGCAGTACACAGAGCACCAGCAGCTGGAAGGCTGGCGGTGGAGCAGGCCTGGGGACCGGATCCTGGACATTGGTGAGTCTCCCCAGGCAGTACCAACCCCGAACACTTGGGCCAGGTCGGGGGGGGGGGGGGGTTCTTTGTGGGTGCCACTTGGATTTATGCTCACAGGGAAGCCCAGCATGGTGGCACATACGTGCAGTCCCAACATTGGAGATGCACAGGCAGGAATATTGAGGTGGAGGCCATGCTGGTCTACATATAGTGAGTCCGAAAGAAAGAGGACGATGAGATGGCTCGGCTAGTAAAGTGCAAGATTGAGGACCTGAGTTCGATCCCCAGAACCTGTGTTAAATAAAAAAGGAGGACCTGAGTTCGATCCCCAGAACCTGTGTTAAAATAAAAAAAAAGGAGAACCTGAGTTCGATCCCCAGAACCTGTGTTAAAATAAAAAAAGGAGGACCTGAGTTCGATCCCCAGAACCTGTGTTAAAATAAAAAAAGGAGGACCTGAGTTCGATCCCCAGAACCTGTGTTAAAATAAAAAAGGAGGACCTGAGTTCCATCCCCAGAACCTGTGTTAAAATAAAAAAGGAGGACCTGAGTTCAATCCCCAGAACCTGTGTTAAAATAAAAAAGCCATGTGTGGTAGCAAAGCTCTTGTAATCCCAGCTATGGGGAGGAGAAACAGGCAGATCCCTAGTGCCCGCTGTCCAGCTGGCTGAGCTGAGTTGATGAGCTTCAGATACAAGGAGAGAGCCTGATCTGAAAACCAGGGTGAAGAGTAACACCCAAGGTTTACCTCTCATCTCCCTGTGTACACACACACACACACACACACACACACACACACGCACACACACTTCTGGCACGAATACCCCCATACTCATACATATAGTTGGAAGTTTTCCTCAGCTGACGGGGGGTCGGGACAAAACTCTCCCACTTGCGTGCCCCAAGTAAACACACAGAGACTTCCAACTACACATATGGAAGGAAGGGAGGAAGGAAGGAAGGAAGGAATAAAGGGAGGAAGGAAGGAAGGAAGGAAGGGTGGGTGGGTCATGAGAGTTTCAGTGGTAACTCAGCCACCGGGTGCCACCCTCAGGGAGTTCTCTATAGAAGAGTGCAAAGTCTTAAAGGGTGACCACCCTGGCTGGTTTGAAACTCTACGTAGACCATGCTGGATTCAAACTCACAGGAATCCACATGCCTCTGCCTCCTGAGTGCATCATGTGCCACCATGCCCAGCTCCTTCAAGGATTTTGATAAGTGACTAGGGAAGGGTGGGCATATCACAGAGCTGGAGGGCTCAGGGCTGGCCCACAGCCCTCAGCTGATGATAGGGTATGCATACCCGGCCAACAGCCAGTCCTTCCAGATGGAATCAGGGGAAATTTTCATAAATTTTGTAACGCCTTTAATCCCAGCACTTGGGAGGCAGAGGCAGGCGGGTCTTTGTGAGTTCGAGGCCAGCCTGGTCTACAGAGCGAGATCCAGGAAAGGCTACACAGAGAAACCCTGTCTCGAAAAACCAAAAAAAAATAAAAAAATAATAATAATAAAAGAAAGGATAAAGACATCAAGCAATCCACAGCAATTCCTCCAGGCTGTTTACCAGTAGAGATGGGTAAAGCTGAATTTCAGATTAGCTGTGGTTTCAAACCACAGGAGTTTGGGCCCAATCTGGGATCCTTCCCTCAGTGTTTGGGAGAGGCTGACGGTCGCACTTTTGTGTGTGTGTGTGTGCAGATATTCCACTGTCTGTTGGTATCTTGGACCCCAGGGCCAGCCCAACCCAACTGAATGCCGTGGAGTTTCTGTGGGATCCAGCAAAAAGAGCATCCGCATTCATTCAGGTGAGTGAACATGAGAGCTTTGGGGAGTACCCATCAGCAAGCCAAGATGGCCGACTGTTGAACAGAAAGTACTAAGAGAGGGCACAGGATGGGTGGACTCAGGGTCGCAGGTCAGGGGAGTTGAAGCAAGGACTTGGAATGTTGTAGAATCATGTTTGGGTTCTTACTTCCAGAATGCTGTGAGGTTAAAAAAGATTTGGTATTCGCAAGACTAGGGAGATGGCGCAGTTTATAAAGTACTTTCCACAAAACCTGAGGACCTGAGTTCAGTCCTCCACATAAGAAAGACTGGAATGGTGATGCACTGTGTTTGGGAGGTGGGGTAGGGTGAAAGCAGGTAGACCGGTCAGGCTGGCTCAATTAGTGAGTCCCAGGCCATCCAGAGACCCTGCCTTAAAAAAATCAATCAAGATAGTGCGCATCTGAGGGATCACACGTGAGGCTGATCTCTAAACTCTATGTGGATGCATGTGAATGCACACACACACACACACACACACACACACACACACACACCCCACTCCATTAATCAAATCAGTATTTTGGAGTGGCGTGAGTTTGATTCTGTGTACTAAATAGTGAAAGGATTGAACTGACTCCCAAAAGCGGTCCTCTGCATGGGCCCTCTGGCATGCACCCACCCACATTTACACACACACACACACACACACACACACACACACACACACACACAGTGAATAAAAAGGTAACAAGTTGGGTTTTTTTTTCTTAAATTTTGTTTTTTGTTTTGAGACAGTGTCTCTATGAAGCCCTGGCTATTCTGGAATACTGTCAGTGATTTTCAACCTATGGGTTGCAACCCTTTAGCAAACCTCTGTCTCCAAAGATATTTACATTAAGATTCGTAGCAGTAGCAAAATTACAGTTATGAAATAGGCAAGAAAATAATTTTATGGTTGGGGGTCACTACATCCTGAGGAACTGTATTAAATAGGAAAGTTGAGAACCACTGTTCTAAATAGACCAGGGTGGCCTTGAACTCACAGATCCGCCTACCTCTGCCTCCCAAGTGCTGGGATGAAAGGTGTGTGCCACCATCCTTAGCAATAACAAAAGTTTTTAAAGTCACTGTTGGCTGATGTGACTAATTGGAGAGGAACATTCTCCCATTCTAATCATTGTTGAGTGAGTTCATTATTTGCATCCTATGTGGCTTCTGCTTTGTGTTACCCACTGTTTGGGGTTAAGGTGGCCAAGGGCATAACCGTGGTCTACTGTGGCTCTCGACTAGCCTGGCTCTTGTTGATGGGCTGTATGGTTTTTTCATATGAGCTTCGCTCCCTATTGTTTGTTTTTGAGACAGGGTCTTTCTGTGGAGACTTGAGCTGGCCTTGAACACAATCTGCCTCAGTTTCCTGAGTGCTAGGATTATAGGTGTGTGCCGCCACACTTCCCCTTCCCATTTTGAGTCTTAGTTGTAGTCCATATGTGTGTTTAATAAAGTACATAAGAAATATGCCAGGTCCATAGGAAGAGCTCAAGGAAAACTAGCAACAGTTGGTAAAATGCTTGCTGTGTACCATGAGGGTTTGAGTCTGATCCTCAGCGTGTAAGAGCTGGACACAGTGACCCCAGTGCTGAAGTGGGGAAAAGACAGGATGCCTGGGGCTTGTCCCCCAGCTAGCCTAGCCAAATCTGAGCTCTAGGTTCAGTGAGAGACCCTGTCATGGTGGGTCTTTATCATCCCAAGCCTTTAATCCCTGCACTCAGGAGGCAGAGGCAAGTGGATCTACACAGTTGCATCCCAGGACTGCCAGGGCTATCTGTCTCAAACAACAACAACAAAACAAAAACAGATACCCCCCCCCAAAAAAACACAACTATAAAACAACAACAAAAAAAATGTTGAATGAGGAGCACCTGAGGAAGACACACAATGTCAACATCTGTCTTCCAGATGTATGGACATGTATACACACATACATTGGAACACACTGATACAGTTTTTAAGAACAAATAATAATCTTGTTGCAAATTTTAGTTAATTTGTATTGCGATAATACTGTATCTTATAACATTACAGTATTAGAACAGTGCATAGGTATCCATTGCCTTCTCTGTAGTATGTACTCAGAGATTTATAGATGAGTTTGGCATTCTGACTATGGTTTCAGACTTGCTCAGTAACCAGGACACCAGGATTTCAGAGAGCAACAGGAGTGTGCTCATCTGCCCTGCAAGTCTAGGGTTTACCTGGGTAAGGGGTAATACTGTGGCTACTGTGTTTAGCCCAAAGCAATGATAAAGACTTAGCTGGTCAGACAGAACTCTGAATAAAGGGACAGAACAGAGGTGGATGATGTCTGGGTTCTGTGGCTAGAGGGCAGGGAGGCCTTTCGTGGCCTTTATGGGGGTAAATGGGAAGTTAAACAGAACAGGGAGTTGAAGGCAGGAATGGTCACCACCTTGGAGGAGAGGTGCCTCACGGTCGTCCAGACTCCCCTCCCCTACCTGACTTCAGGTCTCACATTCCCCTCTAGGTGCACTGTATCAGCACAGAATTCACCCCCAGGAAGCATGGGGGTGAGAAAGGAGTGCCTTTTCGGGTGCAGATTGACACATTTAAGCAGAACGAGAATGGGGAATACACGGAGCACCTACACTCCGCCAGCTGCCAGATCAAGGTGTTCAAGGTAGGATGCACTGCACAGCCAACCCTGGTCAAACCTGCCTGCAAAATGGCCCTTTGCTATTGCTTAGAGCATAGACCCAGCTGGGCATGTGGTCTCCCAGGCTTCTGTGTGGATTGCAGCTCCTGGACCTGGCCTGCCCCTGCCCAGACTTCCCTTGTTCCTTGAAAGTGTTGGAAGGGGTGTCTCCCCATTTCAGTACAGGGCTCTGCTTTTGTGAAAACGACAGACTTTGTATCTTTTTAGAGTTGTGTTTTCCCAGACTCCCAAGCATTTCACAGGTATTCATATGTTCTCCTGTGTAGTGTCTCCTTAAACATGAGGGCAAACACTATACCAGTGCCTTTAATCCCAGGCAGAGGAGTGGATCTCTGTGAGTTTCAGACCAGCCTGGTCTACAAAGTGAGCTCCAGGTTGCCAGGGCAACACAGTGAGTGAGTGAGCTCCTGTGTCAAACAAAACAACAACAAAAAAGAAGTAAACATGAAGTAAGGGGGCTAGGGCTATTCTTGGAGGTCTAGGCCAATGCTGTTTTTCTCTTCATTGGTTGGCTGTGTGTGTGTGTGTGTGTGTGTGTGTGTGTGTGTGTGTGTGTGTGTGTGTGAGAGAGAGAGAGAGAGAGAGAGAGAGAGAGAGAGAGAGAGAGAGAGAGAGAGAGAGAGAGAGAGCATATTTACAGTTGTCAGAGGACAGAAATCAGCGCTCTCCCTCTACCATGTGGGTCCTGGGATTGAACTCAGTGTCATCAGCCTCTACCCGCTGGGTGATCTCACCAGCTCACTGTCTGCTTTAGTTTTTGACACAGGCTCTTCCTGAACCTGGAGCCCGCCAATACAGTAAGACTAGCTGACCACTGAGCTCCAGGGATCCTACTGTCTCTGCCTCCTCAGCACCGGTATTCCACGTGTGCATCGCCACACCTGGCTCTTTCCATGGGTGTTGGTTCCAAATGAGCATGGGTGAGGCTCTCACACATGCATGGTGGATACTTCACAGGAGCTCTACCATTGAGAAGACCCTCAGGCCGGCTTTCCCTTCAAAAAGACCATGGTGTGGCTCAGTGACAGAGGATTGGCTCTAGCATGCAAGGAGGTCCTGAGTTCTGTCCCAAGTACCAGGAAAAACAAATTCTTCATAAAGAAACATCTTCAGAGCCAGGCGGTGGTGGTGCACACCTTTGATCCCAGCACTCGGGAGGCAAAGCCAGGCGGATCTCGTGAGTTCGAGGCCAGCCTGGTCTACAGAGCGAGATCCAGGATATGCTCTAAAACTACACAGAGAAACCCTCTCTCGAAAACAAACAAACAAACAAACAAACAAAAACAAAAACAACGAAGAAAAAGAAACATCTTCAGAAATCCATCAGCCTCTTGCTGTCCTGATTCACCCTGCAGCTCTCACGCTGGCTCTTATCTCCTCAGTCTGGATTGATTGTTTCCTGAGGGTGGGAGCCAGTGCTCTTACAGTTCCTTGTGCCCTCGGGGAAATGGACGGTGCAGCAGGCCTGTGGCATCCTTAGAGCATGAGGCTAGCCCATGACCAGCAGGCTAAACTGCTTCTGTCCCCTCCCATCAGGGGTTGCTTTGGGTGATCAGCCTTAATACCTGTCCCAGAATCAGAATCCCCCTCTTTACACCTAGGTGAATTTGGAACCTGCTGGAAACACCTGCTGGCCCTGGAGACCAGGGGGAGAGACTGCAGGGTCCTGCTGATCCTCCGGAGCAGGGATAGACAGAAACTAAATAGTCACAGCTATAACTACAGACCTGGAGGCAGAGCAGTTGAGGCTGTCCCTCTGAAAGCAAGACTGCCCTCACCCTCCGTGTGGCCTGGCACTTTGAGTCCATGGCAGGCATGTTACCTATAAAGTATTTTTTCTCTTTGTATGTAGAAGTGGTGTTTGTGTGTGTATGTTGAGTATACATGTGTAGCGTGTGGAGGTCAGGGCTCAGCCTTAGTTTCCTCAGGGTCATCTACCTTATTTTTGAGACAGGTTCTCTTACTGAACGTGGAACCAACCCATTAGGCTAAAGGATCTACTGGTCTGCTTCCCGCCTCTGGAATTACAAATGTTTGTCACTATGTCCTGGGATTTTTACGTAGTTTCAGGGGGATCAAATTCAGGTTCTTGATGTGTCGGGTTTCTGAAAGAAAAAGCCAACATGTTCTGACCAGCCAGCCCCTTGAAGGATGTGAGGTGGAGAGCTTCACCCCACATGCATGCTAGTCGATGGTCTGGCCATATCTGCCTCACCTATGGCCTCTCAGGCAAGGAGGAGAGGCTAAGACTGCCATGACCCTGGGCCCTAGCAGCTTCTTTGGTACTCACATTGAATACTATGCCTGCTCTTAGTGTGCCCTGTGGCTCCTTGCAAGCTTATCATGATCTGGGGTTGGTGTCACCCTGAAGGAGGCTTCCCTGAAAGCCCTTGAGCTGGGGAACCAGAAGGTGTCCCCTGAGGAAGGCACACACTGGAATGAAAGGTCTGTGGGGCCACTAGACCTGAACTAATTGTTAATATCTGCACATCACAAGTGCATAATAAAACCGCTCAGTGCTAAAGCGCTGAGGGGCTCTGAGTCTTGTACCTGTGCTTGCCAAGCAGATGGGAACCGTGGGAGGTGACACAGGAGGGAGGGACAGTCCCCTCAGGCCTCTCCTGCCAACAGCTCAGGCCCTGAGCCTCTGGTTTGTAAAGAAGCAGTGGTGGTTGTGAGGCCGGGCACTCTTTATAAGTCAGTTTGGCCCCAGCAGAGACAAAGATGCCACTGAGATTGAGATATATTGAGGGCTGGGTGAGCAGAGTTGAACATGGCACAGGCTGAGTCAGCAGACACTCTCCCACCTCCCTTCAGTCTCCGTCAGTCACCTCAGCACTGTGGTATATCCCATCTTGGTTCTCCATGGCTCCTTCCAGAAGAAAGAGGCCATTGGTAGCCATCTTTCCTAAGTACCTATTGAGCTGCCACATGATAGACTCAAGATGCCAGGGGTGGAAAGAAAACATGGCGCTCTGGAGGTGCAAGAACTGTCCTGCCTGCTCTCTTGAGGTGAGAGCCTGCAGGCCTTGGTCTACCTTCCTCAGCCAATGGTTGCCTTCTGGCCTAAATGGACCCTGTATTCTGTACTTGCAGCCAAAGGGAGCTGACCGGAAACAGAAAACCGACCGGGAGAAGATGGAGAAAAGAACAGTTCAGGAGAAGGAGAAATATCAGCCATCCTATGAAACCACCATCCTCACTGAGGTGAGCTAGGGCTGGACCTGGAGTGAGCCTGGAGTGAGCCGGGGACATGGCGCACAGTAGTGGAAGATTGCCTATCATCAGGTGGGAGGGAGCTTCGGAGAGTGCCCAGTGCACACATCAGATGAGGCCACTGATGCATTACTCTGAGGTCCCTTTGAGCCCCCTGCTGCCTTTGTATGTGCTGGTGCTTTTGAAAATGCGGATGAACAGGGCACACATTCAGACATGGGGTACAAAATGTAAAAGAGTACAACCAAAAGTATCTCCCCCATCGACTGGTCAATGCCTTGGCTCTTCCTCCTCTCTCAGCTTCTCTCTCTAGGCACCCGGGGCCTCTGATTCTGTGGGCATCTGTCTTTCTCTGCAATTAGGGCAATGTGTACACACTTTAACCCATGCCCGTGGCTGTGTCTTGTATTTAATGGCTCATTTTGCACGTGACTCCCGCTGTCCTTTGATAACAGCCTTCTAGTTCCTTGTGCAGCTGTGGAGGCCGGATGTGGACATGCACATGGCAGGACGTATACAGTAGCCTACTCTATGCGAGCTCACTGGCTGCTAGTGTCAGCATTGGCTTTTGGTTGGTTGGTTGTTTTTGATTCAGGGTCCTCTATGCATCCCTGGCCATCCTGGAACTCTCAGTATAGACCAGAACAGGCTGGCCTCCGACTCACGGAGATCCTGCCTCTGCTTCCTAGGTGCTGGGATTAAAGGTGTGCGTCACTAGGCCCAGCAAGCGCAGACTTTTATAATTCCATGCTAGGGCCTGAGAGATGGCTCAGGGGGTCAAAGTGCTGGCTGCGGAAGCCTAGCAACTTGAGTTGGATCCCCAGATCCAAGGTGGAAGGAAAGAACTGACTTCTGAATGTTGTCCTCTGACCTTCATACGCAAGCCATGCCATACGCATCCCAGAACACACACACACACACACACACACACACACACACACACACACACACACACACACACACACATTCATATAATAATAAAATAAATACACAAGTAAATTTAAGATTTAGTGTCCGAACTGGAATCCAAGATCTCAGGTGCATACACTGCTTGGCCACTGAGCCCTAGCCCATCCCCAGCCCTGGTTCTTTCTTTGGACAGATATAGAAATGTACTTCCTGTTAAGCCTGACACCACAGAGGCAGCCCTCTGCAGCCATCCATGGGTTCAGAGTGCTCTGAGAGGCTATCTATCACCAGCTCTTCCTGCTTCCTGTCACTGGCCTTCGGTGGCTTCACTCTTGCTGGCCTGTTTTCCTTAAATAACCATTGTGTTGGAGATTTTGACTAGTTGGATTCCCTCTGAAGGTGTGTATAAGACCCAGGATGGCCATGCATGGTCAAGGCTATGTTGATGGTGAGACTTGCAATATAGAAATCCAAGAGGCGGGTGGCCAGGTCCCAGCTGTGCATACGCCTGTGTATGTATGTGCTAAGGCACATGTGAGGAATGTTTGCATAAGACAGGGAAAAGAGCTAATGTGGCTGGCAAGTATGTACTGGCACTTTATTTTTCCTGAGGGTGGCAGTGGGCAGGGAGCCCAGAACAGGCAAACTTGCGCTTGCTCTCTGCCAGCAGAAGGACACAAGGACTGTGTTTCATGCCTTTTCTTCCCATGCCTGGTCCACACCTGACTGATGGCTCTGCCAGGAGTACCCCATCCAGTGATGTTTCTCATCCTGGCTGAGCCCCAGCTTCTCTGTTCTAACCCCGACTTCCCTGAAAGCAGAGAGTGTGCCGTAGCTGCGCAGGCCCTCGCCACAGCACAGCGTAACTGGTACAGAGAAGCCAGGCTGTGACCTTGGGATGCCAGTGTGCCCCTTCTATCAGCTCATCAGATTTCCTCCCCTAGTAGAATTTAGCATCAACAAATTCCAGCCCACACTCACAACGGTTAAATATTTACCAACCTGGCATTTGGTGGGGGGATAGTCAGTCTTTAGGAATGCTTCAGACTGGCCCTCTCCAAGCGAAGTCATAGACCTCCAAGGGAGGGAAGGGAAGAAACACAAGCTTGGGGTGCTCCCTTTCCCTGGAGGTCTCTGTTCTCTCTCCAACACCCCCAACTGGCCTGTGTATTGGAATGTCCGCCAAGGGAAGGCTCTCACATCATGCCCGTTTCTGTCTTTTGGAGCCCAGATGGGTACTAAAATGGAGTAACTGTACAAGTCGTCTGGGGGCAGCTGTTCTTGGAAGAGCTCCAAGACCCCCCTCCTGCCTGCTGCAGCCCTGCTGCAGGTCCCTCACCCAGTAGAGTGGTTTTGGCTCAGAACTAATACTGTTCTCTTTTTCTTTAGGGGCAATCTCTCCTCCGTATAATGCATAGCTAAACATATTGACCGCTTGGGTTTTGATTGTCTTCATTTGTGGGCTTGGGCATTACATGCTTCTTCCCACCTTTGGTGTGACTACCTGGGAGCTCAAAGGGGTGCATTCCATGGTCTGCCTGCTCCAGACGACTTCCTGAGTTCTAGGTCTCTTCCGTCATGTTTGTTGGGTGACCCTAGCAGTCTGACTGGCCATGGCTCATTGTGAGTGCTCAGTCAGAATGAGCTCTATGCTGACACAGCAGTGTCTTAGGCATCATTGGTGATGAAGGCTTACTTGGACACACCTAAGGAGTATGGGCTGTCTCTTGAGCTTCTCCCAAGATCACTGTTGAGTCCCACTGTCCTGTATCTATTCCCACAGTGCTCTCCATGGCCCGACGTCGCCTACCAGGTGAACAGTGCTCCATCCCCAAGCTACAATGGCTCTCCCAACAGCTTTGGCCTCGGTGAAGGGTATGTCCAGCCTTTCTTTCCTTGGGGTCCTGGCATGTGGTGGGGTAGAGGTTCCTTTTTTGGTCTTCCTTCATCCCTGGCATCTTATTTGGGTTTTCATGTGCCTAACTGGTATTATCAATTGCAGCCTATTCCTTACCTGCTCCCCATGTTGGGGGTGGAATCCAGGGCCTGGTACATGCTAGGCAAGAGCTGTGCCGCTGAGCCTATATTCTCAGCTCCCGTATTTAGCTTTGGGTTTTTGAGGGCAGGCTTGTATGTCCCAGATTGAACTTGAGTTTGTTGGTTAGCACAGGCTGGCCTCGAACTCAGAATCCTACTTTTTCAGCCTTTTGAGTGCTCGGGTTCCAGGTGTATGCCATCACACCTGGCTATGTGCAGTGTGTGTGTGTGTGTGTGTGTGTGTGTGTGTGTGTGTGTGTGTGTGTGTGTGTGTGTGTGTGCTACGCGCGCCGCGCTCTTTTCTATATGCTTCCACAAGTGGCAACAGGTTTGTGAGAATTTACCTGGAAAACCAGTGTTCTCCTGAGGTGGGTGCTGGATGGCTGAGGCATTGAGAAAGGTCCTCCTTGGTTTTCTTTCTACCTCTGGTGCGTGCTTCCTGAAGGGACTGTCTACATAGATGCCTCCAACCCTGGCTTTAGTGTTTGTAGCACCAAAACTAGTTTTGCTGAACCTTGGCTGACTCTACAGATAGGCCATGTGGCCCCAAGACACAGTGCAGGACAGTGCAGACATCATAGGCAGATTCTGACTGGCAGGCTGTGCAGACACGATGGCTTTGTAGTAATGTCCTGGTGGTGAGCAGAGAACTCCAGCCCGGGTGCTGTTAGTGAGCACAGAAGCTCTGTGTTTTGTGCCTTGAGCTCCTGTCAGCCGTCCATCTGTAATAAAAAGTCGGGCTTGGGGGATGGAGCTGGAGCTCATTGGTAGAGAAAATGCCTGGTTTGATCTCCAGCACCCGCTGGACTGGTGACTGGCACCTGTAATTCCAGCATTCTGGAGGTAAAGGAAGAGGATCAGCAGTTCAAGGTTCTGTAGCAAGTTCAAGGCCAGCCCAAGCTAAAGGAGATATGCTCAAAGGCAGACAGACAGACAGAAGAAAAAGCAAGGCTGCCCGTGTGTGTGAGCTTAGTTTTACCATTGTGAAATGTCTTCTCAAGAGTATAGAACTGAAAGAAAAGGTCATTTAGATCAGGCAGACTTGCTCTTTAATGTCTACCTTCTGGGGAGCGACTGTCTTAACTTCCCTCAGCCCTGCTTCCCCGATGCAGAAGAGGGTTAGGGGTTCAACACAGGGTCCTGAGGAACGATGTACCTGTGAAACAGAAGTGGGATGGCTGCTGGGGTGATAGCTGGGATGAGAGTCGTCCCTTCAAGGGGCCTGTATGTGCCTGTGCATGTGTGGGCGTGCATGTAGAAGCCAGAAGTTGATGTCAGGCACCTTCCTCAATCATTCTCTTCCTCACTTTTGAGCCAGGGTCCCTCATTGAACTTGGAGTTCTCTGACTTGGTGAGCCTGGCTGACCGGTGCTCTCCAGTGACGCTTCTGTCTCATTTCCCAGGACTGGGATTAGAGGCATACCCTGCTGCACCAGTGTGTGTGTGTGGGTGTTGGGACTTGAACATGCTTGCACACCAAACACTTCTGTACCTTCCTATTGGGAAAAACCCAGGCTGTGTTTTTCTTCCTAAGTGGGTACCAACCTGTGGATTCAGCATAGTGGCCCTTATGTGCCTCTCTGGCTAGGATTCGGTTGATGATTTCGGTCCAGCTGCAGCTTCCAGATTCTGGTCCAGGAGCTGAAGTACTGGAAGGGGTGTGGCCTGTGTCCTGGTTAGGTTGTCCTTTCCTTAGGCTGGAACTTGGGTATTTTAGCTATTTCCTTGCACTGGGACAAACATTCTTGATAAGAAGTGACTTAAGGAAGGATTTATTTCGGAGATACAGTCCACTGCTGTGCAGAAGCCATGGCAGCAGGAGCATGAGGCAGCTGGTCCAGTTAGGATGTAGGATGCAGAGATGGATGTTGTGCTTAGTTCCTTTTCTCCCTTATAGTCAGTCCAGGACCCCCGCCCATGGGATGCTGCCGCCCATGTTTAGAGTGGGTCTTCCCACCTCAGTCAACTTGACGTAAAAACTCGCCCTCAGACATGCGCACAGGTTTGTTTCCGTGGTGATTCTAAACCCTACCAAGGTGAACCATCCCAAGGGGTGAGGCTCCACCATGCAGCACATGATCCAGTCACAGTGGACGAGCTCTTCTTGGTTGTTGCTGCAGACTACACAGGTAGAGTTACTGTTGCTTGGACAGTGCAGTCATCCAAACCTCCCATGCAGTGACAGTTGAGTTCAGGAGACATCGTGAGAGACCGGGTCTTATGTTTGTCTGTCTTATGTCAGTCAGTCTTCCAGGCCTTACTTTTAAAGCAAGTCACACACCTGCGGGAATGTAGGCACCACGTAGGTTCTGGAACCTTCTTCGGGTCCCTGGAAGCCCTCAGGCTCATCTACCTTCTCTTTTCCATTACAGCAACAGCTCACCTACCCACCCAGTGGAGCCCTTACCCCTGGGCAGTGATGTAAGTGTGCGTGGGTGCTGGCAGGCTGGCGGTCCCTCTGGCTCTGTGGCCATTTTGAGCCTCTTTTCTCTCGCTTGCAGCATCTGCTCCCCTCAGCCTCTATCCAGGATGCCCAGCAGTGGCTGTACCGCAACCGCTTCTCACAGTTCTGCCGGCTCTTCGCCAGCTTCTCAGGTGAGCGTTGTGGAGTGAGGTTTGACAGCCACAGGTGTCTTGGCTTACTCTTGGTCCCACAGGCCTGTGGCTTGTCCAGGGAAAGTGGCTTCCCTTTCTTACAGCTTGTGGTATGACGTTTTGTCCCTAGACAGTCCTTGTCAAGTTCAACTTGTGGGCTGTTTGAGTGACGGTACTCAGATCCTCTTAGCTGTTGGTTCGGCTGGGCCCTGCCCTGCCCAGGTAGGGCTCTGTATCGGTTCCTCTTCTCATCGATGTGGCAGAATACCTCAAAAGCAACTTACGTGGGGAGGGCGGGGGAGTCGTGGCAGCAAGAACATCATCCACGGTATAGAAACCAAGATGGATGCTGGTGCTCAGCTCCCTTCCCTTTTTTATTCAGTCCAGAAGCCCAGCCCGTGGGATGGTGCTGCCCACATTCGGGGTGAGTCTTCAACCAAATCTAGAAGCTCCCTCACAGGCATGCCCAGAGGTTTGTCTCCTAACTGAGTGTAGATCCTGTCAAGTTGACAGCATTAAAAACCACAGGCCCTCTTAGCCAATCAGGGCAGCTCATACCTGTCATGTGGGCCCTACGTGTTTCCTCCAGGGCTATCCCCTGGAGTTGGAGGTGAACCTTAGGCAGGAGAGAAAACCTGCTTTCCTCCCTTCTGAAGGGTTCTTGAGGGTTTGGCTGGGGGACGGCCCACAGATGAATGTTGTAAGTGGGGTGCTGCGGGTACAGAGGTGAACAAGGCAGTGAGCCTCACCACTCAGCTTTGAACCCTGATTGAGGGGAGTAAAGGTCCCTCCCAATGTGGGGAGTTGTCGGCAGCAGAGGGAAGAAAGGAATCGCTAGTTGCCTCAGCTTTGTCTCCAAGAGCATTCTTCACGGGAGGTAGAAGGGCAAGGACAACCGGGCACCTTGCGCTGCCATAGGAACTGGCCACTTCAGTGCACTGTGACCTGTGCTGGGTGAAGGAGGGGGGAAATGGCTCCTGTGACCTGTGCTGGGTGAAGGAGGGGAGAAGGGCTTACCCAGGGGTCCTTAAGTGCTAGAGAGAGCTGGGGGGTGGTAGGGGAGAGCTCTGCCCGCAGAGAGAAAGTGCAGAGGCTGAGAGGTAGGTGAACTGAGGAAGCAGTGAGGTCAGGTCGCCAGGGGGAGGTGGCCTGGATTCTGGCAGGACCATAGGAGGATATTGGCTTTCAATCCCAACACAAAGCCAATCATTCTGGATTGGAGCTGTAGCTCAGTTAATAGATTGCTTGCCTGGCATGCACAAGGCCCCAGCACCACATAAACGGGGTGCAGTGTACTCAGGAGGTAGAAGAATGAGAAGTTTAAGCCCACCCAGGGTTACATGAAACCATGTCTCAAAGAAAAGAAAAAGCGGGGGCTGGATGCAGGGGAGGAGCCATTGTGTCCGCAGAGCTACTCCGGACATCACCTGAGATAGAGATAATGGAGGTGACGGAAGAATCCTGGGAATCTGGGATCTGGGGACTCAGTCTTTAAAGACGTCACACTGTGGGCATCCTTACTAACCATCATTCTCCTCTCTTCCTGTGAGACACTGGCCTCCTCTTCCCTTGAGTGGGTTGGCAGGTCTGTCCATGTCTCTTGGGCAGCTAGTTTTCTGTCCTTGGTTTGAGCTAGTCCCCGGAGTGTGTCTGTCTGTATTGTCAATCTGCAGCGAGCTGTATGCTTCTGCACAGAGACACACGTGGGTCATTGGTGGCGGCATGCTGATCAAATCTACACATAGATAGAATAGTGCTGATGAGCATGGAGAGCGGGGTGGGCTCATTTTCTCCTTTGACTTGTGAGCACACTAGCTTTCAGCTTCTGATGTTGTATGACTGTGACCTTCTGTGGGTATGCCTTATGTCATTTCTCCTTGTGGAAGGTCTAGTGCCCACTGAGGATGAGGCTGGCCCTACTTTGCCCAAGCCTTGCTGTGGGGTCAGCATGTATACACCATGTGACTGGTGATGTGTTGGTGGTGGTTTTTTAGCTCTTTTGGGGGGCCCGCCACCCAGCTCCCAAATAAATCACATGCGGAGGCTTATTCTTAATTATGAATGCTCGGCCTTAACTTGGCTTATTGCTAGCCGGCTTTTCTTAAATTATCCCATCTACCTTTTGCCTCTGGGCTTTTCCTGTTCTCTTACTTATTACTCTGGCTGGCTGGGTGGCTGGGTGGCTGGCTGGCTGGGTGGCTGGCTGGCTGGGTGGCTGGGTGGCTGGCTCCTGGAGTCCTCCTCCTCCTCTGGCTCCTTTTTTCCTCCCAGATTTCTCCTCCCCTATATATCCTCTCTGCCTGCCAGCCCCACCTAGTTCTCTCTCCTGCCTCATTATTGGCCATTCAGTTCTTTATTAGACCATCAGGTGTTTCAGACAGGCACAGTAACACAGCTTCACAGAATTAAACAAATGCAACATAAACAAAAGTAACACACCTTAAAATGATATTCTACAACAGTGGTGGTTGTCTCCACTTAGGTGCTGACCTGCTGAAAATGTCCAGAGACGATCTGGTCCAGGTCTGTGGCCCTGCAGATGGGATTCGGCTGTTCAATGCCATCAAAGGCAGGTGGGTGTCAGTTTTAGACAAACCAGCCAAAGCCTGTGGCCTTTGGGCTGCCTGTGTATAGCAAGAAAGAAGGCCCACCTCAGCCTCTTGAACTGTGGCTAAGCCTGCTGGTGGGACTAGCTGATGGAAGGAATCTCTCTTTTGGCGTGGGGGTGAATGCTGGCGGATGTGTTGGGAGGGATGGAACAGTGAGCGAGATGCCATGTGGAGATCACTCAACTCCTGGCTGCAATGGTCCTTGCTCAGATATACCTCAGTATTAGTTAAGTTTTCCGTTGCCATGACAACGTGCCTGACAAAGGCAGCTTATGAAAAGAAAGGTTTATCCTGGCTCATGGTTCGAAGGCATGGTGCCATGTCCAGTGCAGCTCAGGGGACAGACCAGACTGCGGCCGCTAGGGAATGAAGAAAGGACAGACACACACACATACAGGAGAGCTGGGTTCGGATAGACAGGATTCCCTGAGGATGGAGGAGGCTCAGTGTGCTCATTAGAGCTGAACAGCGAGGTGGGGTTATGGTGTGCCCCTGAACAAGGGTTAGTCCATACAGGTAAGCAGGAGGGAGGTTTTACGGTGTACAGCCGAATGGGGATGATTTAGCTAATCTCTGTATGAACAGTCTCCGCAGGGGAGCAGTCTTCAGGCCATAAATATCAAGGGGGTGGAGCCAGGTGATGTTTTCTGAACCCACTATCAAATATTCACACATGGACTCTGAGCCTCACTCCAAGGCAAGGCTTTGCCGCTTTCCCATGGGTCTGAGGTCCTTGGCGTGGCCAGGTCATGGCAACAGCACACAGTCACTCAGGACTTCCCACCCTTGGGCTCCCCACAATGCAGTCCGTCAAGGAGGACCATGGCTGCAGTGGGGGAGGTCGCCGGTCACGTTGTGTCATGAAGCAGAAAGAGAGGATGGCTGCTGGTTCAGACTGCTTTCTTCTTTGTGTGGGGTCTGAGACCCCAGTTCGTGAGGTGGTGCTGCCTACATTAATGGTGGGGCTTCTGACCTCAGTTAACCCAATCTGGAAATGCCCTCTCTCACAGAAGTCTGTCTCCTACATGATTCCAGATCCTCAATTAATATTAACTATCACAGCCTCCCTCTCCTCCATTGGACCCAGAGCCTGTGGCTCTTGGCCTTTAGTCACTGGCCCAGACTCTGAACACTTGCAGAGTCCTGACTGAGAGCTGACTCCCCAGGGGCGGGGTATGGCCTTGAAAACCACAGTGCAGTTTTCAGGGTGATGTTGTCTGCAGAACTCTCCACCACCACGGAAATGAAATGGTCTATGATAGTCCAGAAACCTCTGGCCATGTGGGACTTGTACAGTGGCACTAGAATTAGCATCACAGTCAAACCAAATTTAAGTGTTTATTGAAATGTTGTGCTCTTTATTTTTTCTGGTGCTGAGACTAGAACCCAGAGCTTGTGTATATCAACAAGTGCTCTCGTTGAGCTATGCCTGAGCCTGGAAGTTAAAACAGAGCAGCCAGCTGGGCACAGTACAGTTGTAAAGTAGAGAACACAATTGAGGGTGAATCCCAGATCTGCCTCCTTGGAGCTGTGCAATGAAAAAAAAAAAAAAAAAGCCATTTGCCCCCCTGAGCCTCAGTTTTCCTGTATGTGAAGTGGAGATGAGCCTTGCTCACTCTCGTGAAGAACTCTCTGTCTCTTTTCTTCTCCCCTTTGGGGATGAAACCCAGGGCTGCACACATGCCAAGCACACATTGTACCACCAAGCTACACTCCATGCCACCTCTTGAGATTCAGGTCTACAGAAAGGCCTCAGCTTGGCAGGTCGCAAAGAGTCGTCTACCCCCTTCCTCCAGAACACCCTGTATGAAGCCATAAAGATCCATCAGGACTGGATTCTACCCCTGAAAACATGTCCATGAGAAGCATGCTGCATCCCCAACACCTGCTTCTTTTCTAAATCCCTCCATACTGCAAATTCTACTCTAGGTTCTGGAATATTCTAGAACATTCCAAAATACTGTAGAGCAACATCCCATCCTATCTGCTAACTATTTCCTTTACTTTTGCTAGGAATGTGAGGCCAAAGATGACCATCTATGTCTGCCAGGAGCTGGAGCAGAACCAAGTACTCTTGCCCCAGAAGCAGGATGGCAGTGGAGACAATAGCCTGTGTGGTGAGTGGAGCAGAGCCTGCAGCCAGACTCCCAAGTCTGCTCAGTTTCTGCTCTCTGTTTTAGTGACTTTTGTCTTCCCTGTGAGGGAAGTTTGTTAGGCCTCACAGTCTGAGGGCATAGTCCCTGTGGCAGGGAAGTCATGGCCGTGAACGTGTGATGGTCACGTCACATCCACAGTGAGGAAGCAGAGAGCAGTGAATACTGGGGCTCAGTTGGCTGTCTCCCCAGCACCCACTAATGGTCTTTAAATACCCTTCTGCCACCAGGAGCCACTGCGTATGTAACCCCTGGAAAGGTGTCATAGTGCTGTCTCCTCCCACAGTGCAGGGTACATGCACACCAGGCACCACATCTGAATTCCGCTGCTCCTCTAGGTCCTCCCCTCCCCTAGCTGGGTGCCTTGGGGTCTGGTTGGGTCCAGGATTCAACATATGTGCCCAGGAGAGACAGAAACAGCCAGCCAATGCTTACTTGTCAGTAGATTCCACCAGCCTTCTCAACTTCCGACAGAATCCATGGCTCTGGGCATGAGCATCCTTACATGTGAGCTCTTGGCTTCTCAGGATGGGGTAGGGACACATAATCGGGTTCTTGTGTTCTTAAACGAAGGCACTTGCTCCTCCCCAGTTTACCACGCCATCTTCCTGGAAGAGCTGACCACCTTGGAGCTGATAGAGAAGATCGCCAGTCTGTACAGCATCCCCCCGCAGCACATTCACCGGGTTTATCGGCAGGGCCCCACTGGCATCCATGTGGTGGTGAGCAATGAGGTGAGCTGACCTGGCCCTCAGGAAGAGCCCCAGATCTCCAAACAGGAGTAGATTTTCTGGCAGAGGTTCTCAACCTGTGGAGCACTACCCCTCCATCAAACCTCTGTCTCCAAGAATATTTACATTACGATTCATAATGGTAGCAAAGTTACAGTTATAAAGTGGCGATGAAATAATTTTGTGCTTGGGTCACCACAGCATGAGGAACTGTATTAAAGGATCACAGCATTAGGAAGATTGAGAACCCCATAGAGTCTACAGGTCCAGGTGTCTCAGTGTTTTCTATGCATGTTGCTGGCTGGAAGCTGAAGCTGTAGTGGCCGCCTGCAGTGTGAGGGGAATGTTCTGACCACAGCTGGGTCGGGGCTACCAAGCTGATGTAGTGTGACTCTTCCTGGGAAAGCATGAAAATGTCTTCTCCCCCGAGATAGGGCATTAGCTACAGACTAAAGTGACAATTCCAGGACTGATTCATTTATTAGGTGACCCCACAAGAGCCACACCACCGAAAAGTCTTATCTCCGTAGCTGTATAGATGGAGTCTCTCTTTCAGTTAACCTTGCAAACTGATTACATAAACCTGGGAGGGAGGTGTAGGAAGAATCAGCTTCCTGTGAGGAGCCGAGAACCCTCCTCCTGCCCTCCCTCCATGAGGGACTGGCAACAAGCCCCATAATTAGAAACATGTTTATTACATTTACTTATTTTGTGAGGGATGGCGGGTGGATGAGTGGGTGGTGGGTGCTACTGCACGCAGGGCGACTTGCAGGACTCAGTTCTCTCCTTCCACCATGTAGGACTAGAGATCAGACTTGGGGCAAGCAAGTTATTAGCTTGGCCATCTCCGTGGCCCAACAGGCCCGTTCTTAAGGGTCCCTTGTGGGTAGTCATAGCTGCTGTGACTAAGATGGTCATGGCTGTTACGCTCAGAGGACAGCTTTCTTCATGTGCCTCGGGGCACGTGTACGGTCAGAGGAATGTGTCACCCATCAAGCAGGGAGCAAGTCTGAAGAGGCCGGGAGTTAAAGGAGGGCAGGGGTGGCTCCTGGGAGAAAAGGCCTCCTTCAGATGAAGGTACACACCACTGAACTGGTGCTCAACATAATCCCGTGGAAGGAATGTGGAACTAGCTGCTAGCGCAAGGTCCAGGAAGTGACAGAGCCCTGTTGGAACCTCGCCCCAGCCCTTCGGGGAGTGATGTGTTAAGCAGACTTGCCTACCAAATTGGGCATCCCTTGCCCATGATGAAACAGGTGATCTTAAACTCGTGTCCTGGACCTTCCTTCCACTGACTGGTATTGTTTCGATTAGCTCTCTGGCACTGTAACCAATACGTGGGATCATGAACTTAAGAAGAGAGGTTCAGTCTGGGCAAGAGCTCACCTTGAAAGTGTGAGCACCCGGGTTCAATCTCCCGAACCCATCCATGTCAAAAGCTGGACATGGTGGTATACCTCAGTGTAATCTCAGTGTTGGAGAGAAGGTATACACACACACACACACACACACACACACACACACCACACACACACACGACTCTGCCTTACAGTTGGAAAGATTTTGGTCCATCGTCAGTTTCCTGTTGTTTAGGGGCTGGCGGTGAGATAACCCATCGTGGCAGGAGAGTGGCTGAGCAAACTCTTCTCACTATGGCCAGAAGGAAGGGGTGGGGGTGGGGCGCTAAGGTCCCAATATCCCCTTCAGTACTAACCCTGGTGACCTAACTTCTTTTTATTGGGCCCGTGGAATCACAGAGTGTTGGGATTACATCTCTGTACTGTATCATACCTGGTTTAGGCAGCTCTGGAAATGGAACCCAGGGCTTTGTACATGCTAGCTAAGCATGCACTCTAGCAATGGACCCACGTCCTCAGGCCCCGGAGGATTTCTTTTTGAGAAGATACAAACCATGAATGTATGTGCCTTGCAACTTCCCAGGTCCCAGAGGAAGTCCCTCCCCCGCTTACCCTGTGCCCTCAACAACAGGCAGTTAAGTGAGCGAGGCAGAGAACAGACCTCAAATACCACCCTGGCTAAGTAGGCCATTCTCATTCCCCCAAGTCTCCTTCCCACTCAACCCGAATCAATTTGGAAACCTTCAGCTCAGAATTACCCAGAGTGCTGGAGGCAGCCTGGCCAGCAAGGAGCCAGCCCCTGGGGTGCAAGGGCACTCAATTAAACAAGGGAGTTACTGATTAAGCCCTTGTGGGCCCTGCTTAGGGCTTTTCATGCCCAAGTGGCTGGGCGGCCAAGAGTCCGAGCTGGAGCAGGCTGAGGTATAGAATAAATGTACTTCATGCACCATTAGGCTCTGCAGGGAGGGTCAGGGTCGACAGGTGGGTGCATTTGTAGGATTTGAGGCAGTAGCCCAGAGCACGCAATAAAAAGTAGGTTGCTTTTTTTTTTTTTTAATTGAAAGGGGCTTTGCTTACCCTGTTGGGTTTGGCATGCATGCTTATGTTTATATTTTAACTATTTCTGAAGTGTATATTAGGAAATGCAGCCTACATGTAAAGATTTATAAAATTAATGTACATTTTGTTTTAAATCTGATTTGTGTGTGTGTGTGTGTGTGTGTGTGTGTGTGTGTGTGTGTGTGTGTGTGTGTGTATGCTGTAGTATATGTGTGGAGATCATAGGACAATGTGTGTGAATGGTTTTTCTCCTTCCTCTGTGGGTTCTGTGAATCAAACTCAGGTCTTCCAGGCTCACATAGCAAGGGCTTCTACCTACTGACCCACCTCACTGACCCTGACTCACACATTTTAATAGGTTTTCAAGTCCTTGTACCCAGTTTACTAGACTATAATGGTTATAAACCCCTTGGCAGGATTGCACCATCTTTGACCCTTGCTTGTTCATGTGTATTTTATAATAATCATCTTTTTCTTTTCTCCCTAACGCATTAGGGGTGGAGCAGTACACATGTGTGCTTGTGGAGACTGGAAGATAGTCTTTGTCTGTTGCCCCTCAGGCACCACCCACCATGGCTTTTAAGACAGGGCCTCTTTATGTCCTAGAGCTGGCCGAGTAGTGTGATGGCTACTCAGGGAACCTCAGCAATCCTCCTCTCTATCTGCCCAGCCTGGAGTTACAAGCCCACAGCATCATGCCTGTTTCATTTGATTGGCTTTTAACCTGGGTTCTGGGGGTCAAACTCAGCTCCTCACGGCTGCAAAGCACTGTGCTACCAACCAGCCATCTCCTCAGCCCAGTAGGCCCCTTTCTTCTGCCTACTTTATGGTGTGGAATAGCCATGCATTCCTCCAGGATTCATGAATGCTGATGTGTGCAGCTGAGGGTCACTATACCTCTGAGTGCCATGAATGATTAGGTCCCAGTTGGCTCCCTCTCCTACCAATGACAGTGCCAGGTATGGTATGAGCTTTATGTGACCACAGTGTTGCTCTTAGTGTTCTTCAGCATGTCTTGAGGGCGCACGTGCCTTGCAGGAGAACCCCAGGGGTGACTTCCAGTAGATGAGTTTTCTAAAGGTTTGTCACCCCCCGGAGTGCTGGTTCCCTTGTATATCCCAGTTACATTTTATCGTCATGATGCTCCATTTTACAGATGGTGCCATGAAGCCAGAAAATTCTTTTTTCTCCTGATCACTGGTTAGAAATCACAGTGAGAGCTTGGGATAGGTGGCTGTGGGTAATCTTTCTTGTGCATGTGGGGAGTAGCAGCCCCTTTCTGTTGGTCTTTGCAAGCCACGGACACCCACATCAGTTAATCACTGTTGGTTGCTTTCTTGTTACTGAAATAAAATACGAGACAAGAAATGATGCAAGGGAGGAGGGTTTATTGTGCCATCAAGCTGGGGAAAGAGTGGCAGCAGGAGCCGGGGAAGGCTGCTGGGGCCACTAGGGAGCAGAGTGACCAGGAAGTGGTGTCTATCCATAAACACTCAGGACCCATCCATTGACTCCCTTCCTCTAACAAAGTTCTTCCTCCCAAAGGTTCCTCAACTTTCCCAAATGGTGCCACCAGCCCTGGACAAAGTGTTCAAAGACATGGGTCTATGGAGGATATTTTTCATTCAGGCATAATTGTTTTGTTTAAAAACATGTTCCAGTCACGAGCCCCTTGAATGATGAGAATGCTTTGCTGGGTGATTTCACCGCTGTGGAAACACTCCGGCTTACAGGCACTCGGAACCTGGATGGTGCATGCCAGTCACTAGACATGGCATTGATGCCACCGATGCAGTCAAGTGACCTGGTGTGTGAGCACACTCTAAAACAGTAGCGCCAAGGATGGTGTGGCAAGTGTGCAGATCGGGAGTGGTGTGTGCTGTGTGTCGTCTTCTGTACCGTACTGGCAGCACACTGGAGTATTTACACTATCGCCACAGACATGAGTGATGTTAACAGGATGGCAGTGCCACCAAGCAGTGAGAATTGGTCAGCTCCATCAATTGTACGTGTGTCCTGTGGCTGACCAAAATGGAATTTCTGTGGCATGTGACTTAATTTTTCTTGTTTGTTTTTGAGACAGAATCTCACTCTGCAGCCCTGGTGTGCCTGGAACTAGGTGTGTAGACCAGGCTAGCTTCAAACTCAGGGATCTACCTTCCTCTGGTGCCTGTGGGCATGTGGAGGTCAAAGGAGGGCCTGTTGCTCCCAGCCGTCCTCATGCTCCCACAGCGATCACTGACTGGGCCGTCTCTCCAACCCCTCCAGCCTTGCAACGATATGATGACACCATTGAGAAAAGCACATCTCCCTCTTGCCTTTCAGATGGTTCAGAATTTCGAAGACGAGTCTTGTTTTATCCTCAGCACATTAAAAGGTAAGCCCCTCCCGGCCTTCCTGATTGAAGTGTGTGTCTGTGTTCCCCGCTGTCATAGGCTGGTGGGTGGCAGGTGGGATCTGCCTGGACAGGGTCCCTCCAGAAGATGCTGAACTTGGAGCAGCCTCTGGGAGCAAGAAAAAGCCAAGCTTTCTCATACCTAGTCCTAGCCATGCCAGAATGAGTGACATCTTCAGGGAAACAGCAGGCCTGGGCATTTGTTCTCCATGACCTTGGTGTTTGGGCTTTTATAGACGGTCTCCGGGAATCCCAAGCAAGGACTACAATGCCCAGCAGAGTGAATCAGGGCCTTAGAGGATCCATCTGAGCCAGATGGCTTGAGAATGGCAGGATGCCTATACTCTACTGAGAGTGAGCCTGCGTACCAAGAGTCGTGTTAATTTGCGCAAGGCAGAGAAAGGCCAGCTGTGACGTTTCTTGGCTGGGAGGATCAATGGATGGGCTTCATCAGAACAGAAGACTGGAGCCTGGAAGGTGGCTCAGTGGATGAGAGCACATATTGCTCTTGCAGAGAATCCAAGCTTGGCTCCCAGCACCCATATCTGGTGGTTCACAACCACTTGTAGCTCCAGTGTCATGGGATCCAAAGCCTGTTTCTGGCTCTGCAGGCATTCATTCATTTGCACATACACGTACATAACATAATTAAGACTAAAATAAGACTGAGTTCTTATTTTAAATAAAGAATAGGAGACTGGTTTCCAGACTGTGCTGCAGCCACTTCCTGTCACGTTCTGTGAATCTAGGTTATGTTAGTTAGCTTTCTGTTACTGTAACAATGCCTGAGGTAACCAAAAATGAAGGTGAGTTTGTCTGGGCTCAGTTCTGGAGGTTTTAGTCCAAGGCCAATTGGGCCCATAGCAGCAAGGCAGTGTGTGATGGTGTGAGTGTGGTGAACTGCTCTGCTCACTGCAGAACAGCTGGAGAGTGAGTGAAGACGAAGAGCTAAGACTCAGTGTTCCCTCCAGGGACATGCCTTCTTTGATGTCACCTTCTCCTGCTAGGCTCCACCCCTTCATGGTCCCACCGTCTTTCACTAGTGCCATAGGCTGAAGACTAACCTTTCACAACGTGGGCCTTATCCTAAATAGAGCACAGAGAATGGCCCTTACAGGCCTCTGAGTGGAGCCACAGCATGGTAGAGAGCCATTGTTGGCCTGCCCTCCTTGGGTTATGGTGAAAAGGCTCATGGTAAAAACCAGGGTACCTGGGAAGATCAGTACAGTGCTCGCCATGCCAGCATGAAGAGGAGTTCAGTCTCCAGAGTCCATGTTTGTTTGTTTTTTAAAAAGCTGGACATTGGTGGTGCATGCCTGTGTTTGATCCTGGCACTGGTGAGACAGAGGGGTGGACCCCTGAGGCTCTCGGGCCAGCGAGCCTAGCTTACTTGCTGAGCTCCAGACCAATGAGAGACCCTGTCCCAAAACACAAGATGGATAACTCCTAAGGAATGATGCCCGAGGTTGTCCTTTGGCCTTTGCACAGGTGTACACGCACACACACACACACACACACACACACACACACACACACACACACACAGTAATTACATAAGGCAGATGCCAAAACCTGGTTAGCATCTCCGCTTGTATAAACATGCTCTTCCTTATGTAGCTATGTAGGTGGTTTTGCTTCTGTCTTAGTACATGCTTTCGGGGGACACCCAGACCCCGCTGCACCTCCTCTCTCTCTCCCTCTCACACATGCCCACGCCCCATGTTTCTCTTGCAGCAGAGAGCAATGACGGCTACCACATCATCCTCAAGTGTGGACTCTGAGCAGCCGAGACCTGCGCCTGTCCCCACCCCACGCATCCCCGGCTGTGGAAGTCGCACCCACTGTCGGCCGCTGTTTCACCTAAGCTCAGACTAGGAGGGACTCTGCCCAGACCAGGAAAGCCAGCGACAGCCATGGACACACAGTCTGGCCTGCAGAAAGCCGGCGGTTCCCTTCTCTCTTCTCTTGGCTTTCAGCTTTTCAACAGTTCCCTGTTCTGTCTCCCGGGCAGACAGTGAGGACGTACATCTCTTAAACCCCGAGCCTGTGGTCGGAGGCTCCTTAGTTGGTCCCCTCCTGACTACTCTTTGCCTCACCCTGTTCTGCACCTCCTTCTTGGGCCACTGGCTTCATGGCTAGCTCTGCCAGCCTGACGGGGACACCTACAGCTCTCCTCTAGTACTCACTTCCCTTCTCATGGACCTGGTGGCAGCCTCTCTCCTGTTCTTGGATGAATTACTAGGACTGGGGCTATTTATTTTGTGCCTTCCGCCTCTCCCTCAGTTGCCTTGATTCTAAGGAGCTGCCACATTCAAGCCTAGAGGTGTGTGCACGTCTGCTTTGACATGGTTGATGCCACACTACGCCGGTGTGACCTCGTGGTCATTGTATTAGTTATTTTTCTGTAGTGTAATAAGGTAACCCGATAAAAGCAACTAAGTGCAGACAGGGCTTGTCTGGGCTTCTAGAGTTGAAGAGTGATAGATTCTATTATGGTGAGGAAGGTGTAGTGTGGAAAGCTGGTTGAATTCATTTTGATATACATAGGATGCAGAGAGAGAATGCACATGAACAGGAAGTGGTACAAGCTTACAAGCCCTCAGTGACCATCCCCAGTGATAAACGTCCCCCAGCAAGACTGCATCTTCTAAAGGTCCCATAACCTCCATAGACAGTACCACCAGCTGGGACAACACGTTCAAATACACTAGCCTATGGGATACATTTTTCATTCAAACCACACATTTTGCCCCTGTGTGACCTCTCACAGCTGCTAATTAGGGTGGCAATGGACTGGAAAATGGCGTGGAACTTCCTCGCCAGGGAAGAGGGATGAAAACAAAAAGATTCCTCTTGGCCTACTGCAGTGTAATCTCAATGAGTAAAGAGTACTGAAGAGGTGAGGATTGCATTGGATCCAGTGGCCTTGACCATCAATTTAGAGCTTTAGGTTGGGGTATGGCTCAGCAAACCCCTTGCCTGGCAAGTGTGAGGTACTGGGTACCATCCCGGTACGGCAGCAGGAGGAATTTATGGAATTCCCTCTTTGAGACAACTTTGGTTAGCCAAGCTGTTTGCCAAGTCTCCTCGGGGAAGTGTGTTCTCTGCAGTGCCCTCATTTAAGAGTCAGTCTTTCCCAGTTGTAGATGTACTTTGTCTTGTTGGTATGGTTGAATCACCTTTTGTTTTGTTTGGTTTTGTTTTTTGGTTTTTCGAGACAGAGTTTCTCTGTGTAGTTTTGGAGCCTGTCCTGGATCTCGCTCTGTAGACCAGGCTGGCCTCGAACTCACAGAGATCCACCTGACCCTGGCTCTGCCTCCTGAGTGCTGGGATTAAAGTGCTAGGATTAAAGGCATGCGCCACTGCCGCCCACCTGAGTCACCTTTTTTAACTAGGGGGAAATTTGAGGATCAGTAGCTGTGGTAGACCCAAGAATTCATCTTCATTTTGCCAGGGATCTGTGCTGGCCCAAGGCTTCAACTCCTTCCTAATCCAAGTTCCCCCAAAACATGGTGAGCCCTCTGATCACCAGAGCTTTTGTGGGGTATTCTTCTAGGCTTAAAGATCATCAGGCTTTGGTAAACATTATTTTACAGGCAGAGAAACTGTTCTTACAGAGAGGCTGGGCTCTCAGTTCCTTGTCTTCTGGGAGTGTGTGGGTGGGACTGACAGCTTTATTCAGATGTTGGTGCTGTGAATATATTGGCACAGACTTTCGTGTGAACAGGGTTTCATTTGGGGAATGTGCCTGGGAGTAGAGTGGATAGCTCTTAAAATAACTTCACCTCTTTGAGGAACTGCCCTGTGTTTCCCACATAGCTACTGCACCTGTTTATGGCCCCACCAGCAATGGAGGACGGTTCTAGTTTCTCTGCTTCCTCACCAACATTTGCTGTGATCTCTCTCTCTCCTTCCCATCCTCCCTCCCTCTTTCCCTCCCTTCCTCCCTCCCTCCTTCCCTCCCTTCCTCCCTCCCTCCTTCCCTCCCTTCCTCCCTCCCTCCTCCCTTCCATGTTGTCCAGTCTGTCTTCAAAGTCGCTAGGTAGAAGAGGATGATGGAACTTCTGGTCCTCTACCTGTCTTCTGAGTGCTAAGAACACAGAGAAGTACCTCCACTCTAGTTTCTGCCCTGCTAGGACGGAAGCCAGGGCTTTGTGCTCCTCCGCTTGTGTTGATCGGTCTTTTGTGCCACAGTGTCCTGCGGTGTCCTGCATTTCTCTGATGGCCAGTGATGTTCAACGGTCCTGTCACGTGTTGATTGGCCATTTGTATGTCTTTGGGGAAGTGTCTGTTCAGGTCCTCTGCCCCTTTTTAAACTGTGCTATATCTTTTCATCGAGTTGTCCAAGTTGTTGGTAAATTCTAGGTGAAGTCCTCTACCAGTTTTTCTCCATTTTGTAGATTGTCTTCACCCTCTTAATGGTGCCCCTTGATGTGTACAAGTTGAACCTGGTTGAGCTTGGTGGCACGCACCAGCACTCCCAGTACGCAGAAGGCTGAGGCTCCCAAGTCGAAGGGCAGCCCAGCCTACATAGTGAGACCCTGTCTCAAAAACTACCATTATTATTACTTTCATTTGGGTGATGACTGGGTTACCTACTTCTCCTGCTGTGCTTTTGATGTGGATTCTAAGAAACCATGACCTAATGCAAGCTCAGGAAAATCAATGTCTGTTTTCGCCTAAGAATTTGTGAAGTTTTAGTTGTTACAATGTTCTCTGCTCCAGTTGAAGTTGGTTTTACATGTATGGTGTGTAGAGGGGGGTCCAATTCCATCCTTTTGCATGTGAGTGTCTGCTTTTTTACCCCTAATTACTGAAAGGCCTGGCCTTTGCCGTGACTAGTCACTTTTGCTGGAAGCCTTTGATGCCTGGATCTCTCTGGGATGGAATTGTAGTTGCTGCTGATCTCTTGTTTCTTCCCCCTTCTCAGTCTGCATTTGGGTCTGCTGATCTTACATCACCTCCCCACTCTGCCCCTGCATTCTCTCTTTCATCCTGTTGGCAGGACTGGGTGGCACTCCTCTGTTGTGCCATCTTTTCTGGTACATGACCTACCACTTCCTAGTTCTAGAGGAAGATCATGCCCAAGCATTTCCATATTTGCATTGAGAGGCAACTGAGTCACTTAGAGGAATTTGCTCAGGGTCAGTCACTGGAAGGAACAGAACTAGGTTTTGGGCCTCTGACTTTTAGCCCATCGGGTATCTGTGGCCACTGTCCCCAAGTGATGGCTCTACATGGGCCATGTGAGCAGAGACTAAACTTTAATTCTGAGGAATGAGCATGTTGATACCTTTCTTTCTCAGTTCCAAATCGAGAGCAAAAGATGGCATGCCTTAGAAGGGGCAGATGGCATGGGAAGTCCCAAGTCTTGCCTTGGGGTCTGTATTAGTTATTTTTTCCCCATTGTTGTGACAAAATGTTGTGATAAAAAGGCAACAGAAAGGAGGACAGGTTTTCTGGCTCATGGTCTTGGGGCTGTGGCCCATCATGGCAGGGAAGGTATCGGCAGGCGTGAGGCAGCTGCTCACACGGCATCCACGTCAGGAAGCAGAGAGAGATGGATGCTGGGGCTCCTCTCACCCTGTCCTTTTTGTTCAGGGCAAAACTCCAGCCCATGAAACTTGAAGGTGGGTCTTCCCACCTCAAATAGCTAATCTAGAAACTTCTTCACACACTTACCTGGAAAGGGAGAGACCATGACCAAGAAGATGGTTTTCCCAGGGGAGACTGCCTCTTTGCACTCTGGATGTGCTGGTTTCTGATTTTCCCCCAAACACAGGAAACTTGACTGCATAATTTTTCTTGCTCTTGCTGAGTAAATGAAAAGAATAGAAATGAAAACCTCTCACAGACATACCCGAAGGTTTGACTCCATGGTGATACTAAATCCCACCGAGTCGACAATCAAGACTAATCATCTTGGGGGTCTAGAAAAAGGTCAGACATTGCCCTAGTGACCTCTCACCCAGTCTGCCTGGAGCCTCTTGAGCAGAGCTATTAACCTAGAGCGATCTTTACAGGGAAAAAGCTGGAACCCACAAGCACGTCACCAGTTCCTAAGTCCAGTGTTGCTTCAGGGGCTGGCCCAAGCCGCTGAAGTTCAGAAAATCATTAACACGTCAGTGGGAGAAGTAGAAAGGCTCTTTAGCTGCTGTCAGTGGAAAGTTGGGGTTGGTGGGGGCGTGGGGAGTTGAACGTGGGCACTCTTAGGTACACTGGGGGGGGGGTGCAGGAGCAAGAGTCAAGGGTCCCAGGCTGCATCATGAGTGACTGTGTCCCTTTAACGCGAGCTGAGCAGTATATCCACTTGGTAGAGTGTCTGTCCCTAGGTTTGCACCCCAGCACCACCCCCAAAATGAAGTAAGCATTGACTTGGAGACCTCGGAACCTGGTAATGGCAGTCAGGAGGTGAAGCTGAGCCATGGCAAGGCTTTGCCATTGTTTCCCAGTCATCAAAGTCAGGTGGTAGATAGGTGACCCTTGCTCGTCCTGGGCATGCCCAGTGCCCCCAGGGCTGCGGCTGCTCACCAAGCCCCAGGCCTTCCTGCCATCTGCAGCTAGATGTTTGTGTGTCGGTGTGGACCTCTCAGTGGCACGCTGCTGCCACCCATGCCAGTCTGTCTGCTTGGCCAGTATGGAAAGTTCATACATGTTCTCTTCTCCCCTTAAAGACAGGACCACCAGGCTGAGAACCAGTGAGATCCTGGGAAGCACCCTGGCTTCCTGTCCAAGGCCAGCTCCAACTGTAAGCTCTCCAAACCCCACTAGGCGTATAGAGGTTCTGCTGAGGTCCCCTCTAGGCGTTCCTGTCAACCCATGGTAAAGTAATCACAGACGCTAGCCTGGACCATCAGGCTGTTCTTAGGGCTAGAGTGGTAAGGTCTGTGTTCCCTTCCTTCCAGGGAGCCACCCCGCACTCCACGCTACATGTTCGCAAACGGGAACTGAATCCTATGCTGTAAGTCTGGTTTTGCCATCAGTCGGATAATAGAGAACATTGTCTTCAAACCTACTTTAGGAAATGATAGCCCTGCATCAACAATTATACTAAATTGCTATATTTTGAATTGCTTATGTTAAATCATGCAGGACTGGGGTGTGGCTCAACGCCAGAGCGCTTGCCAGCCATGATCGAGGCCCCGGGTTTGATCCCTAGGACCATAAACCATACATTGTGGAGAGCTGGATGTGGTGGTGCGAACCTGTAACACCGACCCTGGTGGTGATGCTGGGGCTGGGTTTGAGGGCAGTTCTGGGCTATTTAAAAAAAAAAAATGGAATTTTGTTTTCTCTCGTGCCAACATAATTTTACCTCTTGGCCCTTAAGTACTGAAATATTTACTCCCTAGCTTCTCCCTTTTGTATTTTTAATGTGTTGTATTTTATTTTGTAGCGATAGGGAACAAAGCTAGAACCCGGGGCCTCACACATTTGAGGCAGGTGTTCTTCCACCACGCTAGCCCCTAGCTCCTCAGATTGAGCCCAGAACCCAGAGATCCTCAAGCATGCAAGGCCAACGCCCTGCTGCTGAGCTGCACACCCGCCCTCAGTTGCCTTCTCCTTCCGATTGTTTAGAGGCAGTCTCAGGTGTGACGGACTGTCTTAAATAACAAATGCATTTTGCATAAACTTAGAAGAGGATGTATTTAGAGAAGAAGTCTGGAATGCTCCTTGCCTTCTGGGTATCTCACTTCTGGAAAGTTCTGGTCCTCACTTGGCTCCCACGGACTCTGCCCAGCCTCTCCATGGGAGTACAGAGGTCTCTTCCTCAAATGCCCCCTGCTACTTGGAGCCCTGCTCGGCCTTTGTCATGGTCCCCTGGCCAGGGTTTGATAGAAGAAAGAACTTTGGTGCGGTATTCATGGGCTGCCGAGCTGTAGGGGGTGGCGGTGGCCTGAGCTGCTCACTGGAACCTGTCCTGGAAGGGATAGGCTGATTTTGGCTGGTACCCTGACTAAAGCCCTGTTAGCACCGCACCCCAGGAGTCTTCAGACCCTTCCCATGTATGCAGGGCTGTGAGTGCCCGGGCAGCTTCCTGCCTTCCTTGGACCCATGTTTCTAGGTCAGTTCTGGCAGGGCAGCGTTGTGTCCTGCAGGGATGCCCATCTCCCATGGCTTGTCTGTCACTCGTAGACCCCTCACAGGCAGCAGGCACTCATAACTGCCTCCCCTGGGTTCCACTTTGACAAACTTCATTGAGTTTTTCCCCAGCCTTCTGCCCGGGCTTCTAGCTGGGGAAACCATTGAAAAGTTAGGACAGACCAGGGTCCTTACAGACAGCAGGTTGAACATCCTGTTTCCCAAATCCAAAATTCTACACCAGGCCTTGTGAGACAGGTCACATTCAAAACATGGATACACTACAAACAAAATTACCCTCGGGCCATGTGTACAGCATATGCAGAAGCACGAGTGGGTTTTGTATTTAGATGTAAGTCCCATTCCCAAGATAAACATATTATGTATGTATCAGTAGCTCAAGATCTGAACCCACCCCTGATCTAGGGTTTGATCTGGGATGTGAAACCTGCATGGACTGAGCCAGGATGAGTGTCTGGTATCCAGTCCTGGTGCCATCCAGGCCCATCTGTTAGGTCTGTGGACAAGCTCACTTCCCATGTAGCTGTCCTGAAGCTTTGTCCCTGGGCTGGCAGTGCTGCTGGGGAGAGCTTTGTGGGGCTGGAGTATTAAACACAAGCATAGGGGGACTGTTTCATGCCCTGACCTGTCTTCTGGGTTATTTACTGTGTTCTTTTATGTCCATGCTTTAAAGTGATTATTTCCTGAGGTGTCCCTTCTTCCTCTACATCAGGTGATTATTTTCTAAAGGTGGTGGGGGATTTGGGGGGGGGTCCAGATTGGTCAAATGTGTGTGATAGGTCATGGGGAGGTGGCCATGGAAACTCCAAGTTGTCATAATACCATGTTTTTGTACCTGAAATAAAGCATATTTTGCACTTGTAAATGAGAAATCTGTATGTGGGCTCTGTGCTGGGTCAGAATGCAAATAAAACCATTTGTACTAAACCCCTGTGGCTGGGACCTCAAGTTGCTTTGTTTATTGAACTGTAGCAAATGAATTCACTATTGTGGAGTATTTGTAGACACAGCTCAGTAGCATTAGGTACATTCTCATGCTGCCCTATGCTCCACCTTTAGTGTTCTTGCAGAACTGAAACTCTGTAGCTATTGAACAGTAGCTCCCCAGTTCCTTCCCCCAGCCCTCGGCAGCTACGACCTACTTTGCGCCTGAATCTGTAAATGAGGAGCTTCATTTAAGTGAAATCCGGTATGTGTCTTGTGTAGGAGATGTATTAGGATCTCCTCCATCTTCAAAGCTGAGTGATACTCCGTTGTGTGGCTGGACCATGTGTATATCTGTTCACTCTCAATGGACACAGGCGACTCTCACCCTTGGGTATACTGCTCTGAATATGAGCTTTCCTGATTTTAATTCTTTTGGGTACAAATCCAGAAAATCCAGAAGTGAAAGTGTTAGATCATGTGGTATTCTGTTTAATTTTGCGGCCAGAGGTAGAAACCACTGCACATTCCCACCTGTACTGCTTAAGGTTCTGAACTTAAAGGCTCTGTATAGTAAGGCTGACTTTAAACTTCTAACACACTGAACACCTGTAATCTCAGCAGTGAGGCATGGAGGGTCAGAAGTTCAAGGTTATCCTTGAATGAGATCCTGTCTCAAAAAAAAAAAAGTGACACCCACCCTGGGTCCCTGCAGAGTCACCTAAGAGCCCCACAGATGATGTCCAAGGCTTGTCCCCAGCACTCCACTCCCCTATTACCTCCTGGGTCCTAGACCTGCTGTTGACCTTGCTGATGCCCCCATTGATGATTGGGAAGGCCTGTGACTTCTGCTGCCTCTGTGTCCCTGCGACACACGTCTCTTTACCGTCTCAGAGAGATGTGGAGCTTGCAGAGCTAACTTGGGAAGGCCTGGTTTAGACACCATGAGGTATGTCCTCAAGTCTCCTTAAATCTTAAGCCTGCTGTTTTATTACACTTATAAATTAAGTTTTATTACACTTTTAAATGAAGACTGCTAATTTCTGCTTCAGACCAATGCATGAAGATAAGTTATTTCACTCTGGCACTTTGACCTGGGGTTCCCAATATGACTGTGGTTACTCTATAGAAAACTTCTCTTCCTGGGGCTGGGGACGTAGCTCAGCAATAAAGTGTTTGCCATTTGATGAGAACCAGAATTTGATCCACTGGAACCTCATGAAAAGAAAAAAAAAAAAAGCCAGGGGTAGTGTCTCACTCCTGTAATCCCAGCATTGAGGAAGTGGAGGCCAGTAAGTGGAGGGTGCTTACTAGTTCAGTAAGCTCCAAGTTCAGTGAGAGAAACCGTTTCAATAAACTAGGGAAGCTGAGTGTGGTGGCGTATGCCTTTAACCCCCGCGCTTGAGGCAGGAAGCCAGGGGCAGGTGGACTCTGAGTTTGAGCCAGGCTGTCCACATAGCCAGGCAGTCCAGGACAGCAAGGGCTACGTGGAGATACCCTGTCTCAAGAAACAAACGACAGCAAAAAATTAGGTAAAGAAAGATAGAGTAGGACCCCCAGAATTGACCTCTGGCCTTTACAAGTGCACACACACACACACACACACACACACACTAGTGCACACATGCACATGTGTATATACCCACACATACACACATGTGAGGATGAGAGAGGAAAGGCAGAGAACAGGAAGGATGAGAACAAGAAAAATGCCAATGCTGAGTGCACGGGTTCTGTCTCGCTGCATCCTGAGTCTGGTACCAAGGTCCATGGCACCTCTGTTTAGGCACCATAATCAGCCCTTTACAAAAAGAGGCTGAGGCTGGGTCCGCTTGGTAGAGCACTTGCCTAGCATGTTCAAAGCCCCGAGTTTGATCCTCAGCACTGCATGAACTAGACATGGTCATACATGCCTGTAATCCCAAAACTTGATAAAGGCAAAAGGCTCAGCCGTTCATTCTCGGCTACATAGAGAGTTCAAGGCCAACCTGGGTTACCTGAGACCCTGTTCAAGCAACAGCAAAACGAAGACAACTCTTCCTTGGGGAGCCCATACCATGCCCTGGGGGTGTGTCCTCCTTTCTTTCTGAGCACCCCTCTTTCTGTGTTAACTTTCATGCTTAAAATCTATATCAAGCCAGGTGTGGTGGCGCACACCTTTGATCCCAGCACTCAAGAGACAGGCAGGCCTATCTCTATGTGTGTGTGTGTGTGTGTGTGTGTATAATTTCAGGTCAGCCAAAGCTACACAGTGAAACCCTGACTCAAAAAAAAAAGTTAAAATACCTTAATAAATTACAACTCTGCTTCATTAAAAGCAGTGGGGTGAGAGGCCATTGGAGCAGAAGGGCCTTAACTTGGAAGAAAGGGGATAGGGAGATGAAAGAAAAGAAAAGCTGAACCATGAACAGGTTGATCTTTAGGGGCTGTTTATTCATAATTCATTCGTTCTCTTTTTTTCAACCTGTAGTCCTCTTGAGCCCACAGTGTGGGGCACCAAACGCTAGAGACATGAGCTGAGAGAGGGTGACTGTCTCCCACTTCCAGAATTTTCCAAGGCCCCTACTTGTGTGGCAAACTCAACCACTCCCTGTCACCTTTAAGAAAAAAAAAAGTCAGTTGTTGTGGGAAAGACGAAGTGAGGGTGCGGCTTCCAAAGCCCCAAGGGTGATGTTTGTGTACAAAACAGGAGGGCAGTGCGGGGTGGCCAGGGCTGGGCACACAGAGGCCCACTGTCAGGCAGGGCTGAGGAGGATGGGAGCAGGCTCCTGGGTGACCCAGGCTCCTGGGTGGCCCAGTGGTGGCGCTGTGGTGGGAATTCAGACTGGCTGCAGCCCCCCAGACCTGGCGGGGCGCGCTGTGGGAGGCGGAAGCATTAGACTCAACCTTCCAACCCCTCGTGAGAAAAACGGCTCAGGCCTGCTGCTGGTCTGATCTCTGTGGTTCCTGCTGCTGGGGAACCTGAGGCCCACTGAAAGGAGGCAGAGAACTCAGGTGCCCACACCATAAGGTGTGAAGGTTGAGCCACATCCTTGTGGCCTGGGCTGGCCTTGAACTCCCTTTGTAGTTAAAGATGATCTTGAACTCGGGTCCTCGTGCCTCCACTTCCTGAGTGCTAGAATTGCAGGCATGAGTACTAACCCCAGTTTGTGTGGTGCTGGGGGATCGAACCCAGGGCCATATGTATGCTAGGCAAGTGTTCTACCAACTGAGCTACATCCTTAGGCCTACACCCTGTTTTTCTCTGTGCCATATGCAATGCTTCACGTCTGGCACCGACCAGTGCTTCATCCCTCTGGACACCAACTGGGTGTCCTACAAATCATCAACTCATATGGCAGGCGAGTAGAGATTGGAAAGAGCTTCATCAAGATTAGCATGAAGCCAGTCAGTAGAAAAAAACCAGGAAGGCCTTCCCCAGCTGGGCTTCACACAACAAGCATGTGGGAGAAAAGTCATGCAAATGGGGAAGAGATGGGGCTATGGAATGACCTACAGGAAGGTCCCGAGGCTCTTGGCCCAGCATGGTTTCTTTAATGACACTCATTTGTTTGCTGTGTGGGTATATGCACACACATGCTACCTTATGTTTGTATGTATGTATGTATGTATGTATGTATGTATGTATGTATGTTTGCTGTGTGGGTATATGCACACACATGCTACCTGGGGTATAAGGAAGTCAGCGGAAACCTGTGAGGGCAGTTGTCTCCTTCCGGGAATCAAACTCAGGTCTTCGAGCTTGGCAGCAAGCATCTTTATCTGCTGAATCATGGAGCTGGCTCCTGGACCAGCACTTCGGAGCGTCTGCCTTTCCCCCAGCTCACTAGCCCGCTTTCCTTTTCTCAATAAACTGTCTCTGTTCTATTTCTGTGTCTAACCATGGGTCTCTGGTCAGATCCTTTGTCCCGGGACACAAGAGCCTGGAAACTTTTACCACTCATTGTGAGACCGGAGTTAGTGCACCCCAGAGTGAAGACAAGGTAAGGGCTGCCGGACTCCAGATGACAACACAATGAGTCTCCAGGTTACCCACAATGCTGCAAATGAGAGGGTCTCACGCCCCCTCGTCAAGGTCAGTGTTTCTCTGGTGCCTCACAGAACTAAGGGTGTCACTCGGTCCATGATTTGTACATTCTATTTCTTTAAGACATTTTTACGTTATTACAGTGTATGTCTCTGTGTGTGTGTGTGTGTGTGTGTGTGTATGTCTGTGTGTGTCTGTGTGTGTGTGTCTGTGTGTGTGTGTCTGTGTGTGTCTGTGTGTCTGTGTGTGTGTGTGTGTGTGTTTGTGTGTGTATGTCTGTGTGTGTGTATATGTCTGTATGTGTGTATATGTCTGTGTGTGTCTGTGTGTCTGTGTGTGTGTGTGTGTGTCTGTGTGTGTGTGTGTCTGTGTGTGTCTGTGTGTCTGTGTGTGTGTCTGTGTGTGTGTGTTTGTGTGTGTGTGTCTGTGTGTGTGTGTCTGTGTGTGTGTATATGTCTGTATGTGTGTATATGTCTGTGTGTGTCTGTGTGTCTGTGTGTGTGTCTGTGTGTGTGTGTGTGTCTGTGTGTGTGTGTCTGTGTGTGTGTCTGTGTCTGTGTGTGTGTGTCTGTGTGTGTGTGTGTTTGTGTGTGTATGTCTGTGTGTGTGTATATGTCTGTATGTGTGTATATGTCTGTGTGTGTCTGTGTGTCTGTGTGTGTGTGTCTGTGTGTGTGTGTCTGTGTGTGTGTGTGTGTGTCTGTGTCTGTGTGTGTGTCTGTGTGTGTGTGTCTGTGTGTGTGTGTGTTTGTGTGTGTATGTCTGTGTGTGTGTATATGTCTGTATGTGTGTATATGTCTGTGTGTGTGTCTGTGTGTGTGTGTATGTCTGTGTGTGTGTCTGTGTGTGTGTGTCTGTGTGTGTGTGTGTGTGTGTGTGTGTGTGTGTGTGTGTGTGTGTGTCTGTGTCTGTGTGTGTGTCAGACGATAACTTGCAGGAATCGTCTTATCATCCCAGGGACTGAACTCAAGTCGTC